ACTTTTAGGTTGGACGTTGTCCTCGTCGCAAGAATATTTTGTATGAGAAAAGATCGAATTACGTATATTTCTCTTCATCTTGGAAGAAATAAGATTGAAAAGAATATATATGTAGAGTGAAGGTTGTAGCACCAACCGATAATAATAACAAGCATAATAAAAATATTTTGTTTCAAACTTTATTTTTTTTGTAGATGGAAGTCGACTAAGGTTTTCATCTTCTAATTTTCTTTATATGTTATTTATAATTAAACTAAAGAGGGACATTCTTCTAGATTTTGCACATGACACTCTGAATCTCAAGATCGATCACGATTTTCCAGATACCTACTTGTAAAATTTCATCCTCATCAAGGACGATCCTGAAGTCGTGTATAAAAATCTAATATATATTAAAGATTGTTGTTTAACTTTGCTATGCAACAGTGAGCTGCGGGGTTTGAGTCACCTATTGATCTTTTGAATTTCTTTGTAACGGAGGTGGTGATGGTTGGTGGGCTGCAGGGGTGGGGCCGTGCGGGTGGTTGAGTCAGGGAAGTGATTGGCGAAGAAGACATTTTATTATTATTATTTTTTTTCTGTTTGAAATTTGTTTTTAAATTTGTTTTCCTCTTTTATTCTTCATTTATTATATTATTTTTATAAAATTATCATAAGGGTTAAGTAGACTGACATTTTTATCTTTCTAATTTCTATCATGTGCACACCGCATGCTTGCTTAACAGAAAAAATGATGGAATTACAGGGGAAGGGCCATTTTCATAACGAAAGAGGGTGAAACTTCCAAAATTGAAAGAATATGGATGGTTATTGCAAAGGTGACAAACGATAGGAACATTTTATACCCGAGAAAAAGACAATAAGCCCAACGTGAATTTGATAATAAAAATAAAAAAATAAAAATAAATTAAAAAAAAAAAGAAGAAGAAGAAGAAGAAGCTACCTAAGTCGCAAATTTTCCCAACTCTCACAAATCTTCTCAATCCCTAGTTGGACTGTGATAATAATCCAAAACGAACTAACGAATGTAAGTTGCCAATTTTAACATATTATTATTTATGAAGGACGAGCATTCTATTACATTGATTATGCACTTTCTTATTAGGGAGATTCCTGAGGGACAAAGCCCTATGGGTAGGGAGATTCCTGAGGGACAAGGCCCTATGGGGCGCCCCATAGGGCCCTGGACGTTTAGGGCTATGTCCGTTTGGTTTAACCCTTCTCATTAAATATAAGTGCACTATTTCACATTTTGCTTATAAGATACTTAAAATCACATTATCGACCTTGTTCCTCGATATTTGTGGCCATTACAATGAACCCAACTTGATTGTTCCATGTACTACGTCCGTACACCACATCCAAATATGGAACCCTATACGAGTGGGAATATGTGACCCTAGCTCCCATGGGATGAAGCCACCATAGCCTCTATGAATAAGTACTTTTACATGCACTTATAAAAAATAATAATTTTTTGAAAAATGTATGGTTAAAAAAGAATGAAGCTTTTTTGGATTTATATGTAATATTATTTTATTGAAAAATGTGTAGTTGGTAAGAAAATTAAAATATATATATATATAATTTAATGGGAATAATGGGACCAAATGGAGGCTTAATGAGTTAAAGGGAAAAAAAAATTCATAAATCAGGTATGAAGTATCACTAAATCAATTTTCAGTTCTTAAATTTAAAAATGCAAAAATTGGGTATTCATTTATTAATTAAATATAAAAAGATCATAATTATACAATTAATTATCACAGGTATATAATTATAGGTCACATATTATCAAATTATTTGTCACAAATTATTTCGAGGTCGTAAATCAAAAAATTTATAGGCTATAGTTTATTTTCATTGGTCATAGATAAAAAAAAATGTCATAATTTATCTATCGATCACATATTTTCAAAATTGTTGATCACAAATTATCGAATTTTAATATCACAGTTAAATAGTTAGTCACGGGTAAACAAAATAGTGGATTATCACCACAACTACTGTCGCCACGACCACTCTCACCCCGTTATCATCGCCACCACCACAACAGCACCACCACCACCATAACAAAATTGCTACCACTAAATCCAATCTACTACCAACAAAAATCACGACAATCACATCTATCAAATCTCCAACCACCACTATAACATTCCATTACCACCACCGCTATTAGACTACCACTACCAGTAACAACCCAACAACCAAAACAATCACCAGCAAGAATAGAGAACCTCCATCTCAATCTCTACCGCACTACAACCACAACCCCAAATCCATCAAGAATGAAAAACAGATCAAAGATCTTGGGAGTAGATGCCACTAGATCGCTGCAATAATGTAGCACCCTCACAGCATCATAGCCCCTCATACCGCAAACAATCCAGCACATCTGCACTCGAGGCACCAATTCAACAAACCACCACTCCATTAGAATGGATCGAGGCGACGCTCAAACCATTGTACAAAATAAAGCTCCAGTAGATCGAATCAAGGCGGCCTTGTAATCAAACCATCGAACAAAGCAAAACTCCAGCAGATCGACTCTACATCGGCGAGCACGCATTCGTAGCTGTAAGTGTTGTGCCACGCTGGTGCCGGTGACGACGATAAGAGAGAGGAGAGGTCGGGGAGAGAATGGAAATGGATAGATTTTCTAGTACTATTATTAATATAAATAAATAAATTAATATGTGATATTTGAATAAATAAACTTGATACATGATTTATGACTTGTAATTTTTAAATGCATGCTATGGTGTATTTTCCTATGAGTTAATGTGGTAACAATTGGCATTTTCTGCTGCCTAAGCATTAAATGCAGGACAAAACAAATTAACGCGGTCCTTCTGGACTATTTCGAGCTTATCCAGTTATCATGTGGGAATTCGAAATGCGAATCTGCTTATACATGTGTGTAACATTTATTCCATTTTATCGCGGTGGCATGTTCGACCACGATAAGTAGTGACCAATAAAATTTAATATCAGGGTCTATTTTGATAATTTAGAGGTTTTAGGTGATTAAAACATAGATTTTTTATATAGAAATCACAACTAATACACTCAATATCTCTTGTGATATATTTGATCAAAGATAAGATTTTATCAACTTTAACTTTGAAAAACTTCCCTCGATGAAGATGACGGTGATAGAAACAATCAATAATACTCAGCCCCTGCTTGACAACCATTTTTTGAAGAAAATGAATTTTTGAATAGTGATTTTTTGCAGAACGTGTGATTAAGAAGTAAAAGAAAGTTTTGAAATTATGTGAAAAATATTTTATTGTTAGAATCTGTAGTTGAAAATGAATGAGAGAAAAAATGAATTTTGTAAATTTTAATGTACATTTATCAAGGTTCTTATTTAATTATCATAATCATATCTGATTCAAGTTTAATAAATATATCTTATGTTTCTAATGGAATCAGAAATTAAAATAATGATGATACTAGAACAATTTTAAAAAATTTAGGAGACAAATTAAACAAAGGAAATGAATATTCATCAAGTTGTCCAATATCAAAAAATTACAAGTTGAACCAGATTAAACCAAATTTCTCAATTTTAACAAGTTAATATTCTCCATTATTTTCAAAATATATTTTTTTCTCATTTATTTTTAACGAAATATTTTTCAATAAAATAATATTATATACAAATAAAAAAAAATTCTTAGCTTTTTACCGTACATTCTTTATCAATTTACCATTCCAAAATGCTATCTATTAAAAAAAAAAAATGGAACTCAAACAAACTCTAAATAAAGTATGGCTAAAAGTCACATTTGAGGCCATGGCCAAGGGCCAGGCCTAACTCGAATTCTTCATTGCATAACGTACAATTTGAGCTTTCATATGTAATTAAAGTCGAGTTGCATCTTTATGCAACTATCTCACCATACTTTATTAATAACTTTTGCGATATTTTGTTTGAATCGATGATGTAAAATGAACACATATAAGTACCCTGAGCATACATACTTGAAAAACGTATATTGTACATGCTCGTCTAATACATATCTGTACTTTTATTTATTGTAACCCTCAAAAAATTGAGAACTATAGAAATAAATTTTAACAGTAATCAAACATAATCATTTTTTTCAAGTGTATGAATACGTACTGTTAATAACAAACATGGCCCAATGGTAACACCTTTATAAAACATAGTACTAAAAATGGAATCCTAAGATTTAAGATGTAAATTTAATTACTAAATCAAAGATTCCAAAACCCGACACAATCATAGATATAAGTTTCCCCCTCTCCACCCACTACAAAAGACCAACGGTCAGTATCAAAACATCATATCATGAACGGTTACTATCACTCCAAGTGTACTTTTATACGTATTTTTCTCTCTCTCTCTGTACAAACGTAAATATAGAGAGAGACACACTAACACATGTTTGCCTAATTTTCAAAAGTAAGTCGACTTACTTGCAAATAATTTTTGCTTTTTAAATGACGATGTGGAATGTATCATTAAATGATAGATAAAAACTGTGGATATTAAAGATTATATGAATAAAAATTAGGTCTTGACCACCAAATAAGCATTTATAAACTTCATCAGACATGTATCATATAAATTTTGTCAAAATCGGACTAGACTGACTAAAAAATAGAGAAACAATATGGAAACTTGATCGATTATATGTAAAAATTCGAAGTGTTATGATCCATTTAAAATTTTAAAATAAGTCAATATTGTATCTGTATATTTGATGAATCAAATTCACCTTAACAAAAATTTTCAATTGTATTGAACCATTCTCGACTCTTTGACTTTTGACCATTTGCTTTTACGTTAGCATTTAAAAAGATTTGGAGAAAAATGAATAACTTATTTATAATTTATAAAAATCAAATTTTAAAACTTACTTATAAATAAACTTATAACCTTGACTAATATAAAAGAGTAATTTCTCTCAAAATTGCTTATGAGCAAGTTCTTGATGCTTAGCCAAACATGCAATATATATAAGCTGTGGCGGTGTCTATGACTATATATTACCCTTTCATATTATCATCCCTGTCGATTTCCCTCCCTTCCTTCCTCTCTCTCCTTGCTGTTTCCCAAGTCAAGAATTTTCGTTTGCCTTTGTGAAAAACTCAAATTTCAAGGATTTTAAGAACTGATTCCGAAAGTACTTATTTTCTTCTAGGATCCTCATTCCAATCGTTTGAGAAGCAAATTTTGAATCTGGAACGTAAATTTACAAAAGAAAAAGTTTGTATCTGTGATTTGATTGAATTCTGAAGTAATTATCTGCATTTTCGAGTTGTAAGTGACTTTGATTTGTTTAAATTTGGACCATTTTGGCGGCTAGAATTACTTCGCGGTGAGAAAATTCAGTTTTCGTTTGCATTTCAGCTTCAGATTTGGATCTTGTTTAAGTTATCAGTTCGTCAGATCTCAATTTTCAAGCATTTGTCCAATTTTCTCTGGTGAGTTCTCAGTTTCTGTGTTTATGCATGGATATGTAGTTTTTGCTAGTATATCTGGCGTTGGTATGAATGATTTGATTTTTGGTTATTGATTAAATCTTAATTACCATATATTAAAATTGTTTAAGCTTTAATTGATTTCGTTTATTAATGGGAGTAATACTTACTGTTCCAATTGCAGAGTTGATTGGCTGTGAGATTTGACCTCAGGTTTATATGTGAAGTCAAGAGATTAAAATTCTGCATACGAAGTGACTTTCAAGTTTCAATATTAACTGGTGAATTTGAGCTTCTGAAGAAAAATGGTGTTTGTTTTCGGAACTTTATTAGAAAAGATGAGCAATCTATCGACATCTGATCATTCATCAGTTGTCTCCATTAACTTATTTGTGGCACTCCTGTGCGCGTGTATTGTGATCGGTCATCTGTTGGAGGAGAATCGTTGGATGAATGAATCCATTACCGCGCTTGTAATTGTAAGTGTATATACTCATTTATGTGGACTTCTCTGTAGTGTATGTGTTTGGGTTTTTGGACATGTGTTTTACTCTTCATATGCGTGTTTTAATCCATATTGATCATTTAAATGACAGGGTATATGCACGGGAGTTGTGATTCTATTAATCACTGGAGGAAAAAACTCTCATCTTTTGGTGTTTAGTGAGGATCTTTTCTTCATTTATCTGCTTCCGCCAATCATTTTTAATGCTGGGTATGTAAAGCATTTTAAGCATTCTATTCCTTGATTTGGAGAATTGTGTTTCTTGTATTATTAATTTTATTAAGGCTTTCTTTATCTGAGATCTTTGAATTGAAAGTGCTGTCAGGTTTTGTATTAGTAAAACAATAATGAGGAACCTGTATATGAGACTGCCAAATTTTTTTATTTTTAACAAATTTTGACTTGTAAGTATTAGCCAAGTTAGTAAACTGCAATTATTTATGCAATGATGCTGCTAAGTTACATGGTTTGCTTTGCTCTAATAATCAGGTTCCAGGTTAAAAAGAAACAATTCTTTCGCAATTTTATGACCATAACACTGTTCGGAGCAATTGGAACTCTGATATCCTTCATCATCATATCATTGGGTAAATCCTATTTTCTTCTGTTATTACTATTTATATCCAAGTAGCAAAGTGCTGCATTCTCCTAATATGCATTGCTACAGCCACACTGTTAATTGTTTTGATGTTTGTGGTGAGATACAAACAGCATGAGGAATGTCTGTCGGCATGCGCGCGTATATTTTTGTACAAACTGACGCATAAATCCTATGATAAAAGATGACAATGTTCTTGCATTTCCTCTTTATTTTTATTTATTTATTTATTTATTATTATTATTATTATTTTTTTTTTTTTTTTTAATTTTTACCATGAAAAGTGGAGTTTATGTTGGTAGAAGTCTGGATTGTATACTTGTAAGTTCTTACATGCTATCTCGAGTTTGTTCTGCACCCTTCTCCTTTTTAAAAATGACAGTTAAAGTGAAATTCTTTAATAAAACATCACAGAAAAGAGACATTCTCTCTTGGATATTTATGCTTAATTGTAGCAGTTGTTGTCAGACTCCAGTCCTTTGTGTAGCTCCGTATTTGTAATTGTATCTTATTATCATATTTCTATATCCTAATTTAGCATTTTTCCTTTTTTTTTTTTTTGCTGGAAGAGAAGAACATGCATGAGAGCGTGAGCAACTTCAACCAATATGATTTATATCAACACTTGTGTCCTGCTTTCTCTGCTTAAGTGCTGCTTGTTTTTAAGGATAGACTGGAAACATTTGAGGGGAAAGAAATGAAAAGGAGAAGAAGAATTTATTATGTAGAACTTTTTAAACTGTCAGTATTCCATTTGTTTCGATGTTTAGAGTATAAATGATGATCTGTTTTGTACCAGGGGCCATTACCTTTTTCCAGAAAATGAATCTTGGTCTTGCAATAGGAGATTATCTTGGTAACACTCGTCCTCTCGCTGTAAACCTTTTTAATTGTAGCTAATAATTTCCTGTAACTCACTATACTCTCTTTTCTCCAGCAATTGGAGCAATATTCGCTGCAACAGATTCTGTTTGCACCTTGCAGGTATATTTTGTTACATTATTCTGTTGATTTTAGAATCAGAAATGATAGCCTTATGCATCAACTCTGATGGTGCAGGTGCTTAATCAGGATGAGACTCCCTTACTATACAGTCTAGTGTTTGGCGAAGGTGTTGTAAATGATGCGACGTCTGTGGTGCTTTTCAACGCAGTCCAGAACTTTGACCTTTCACATATCAGTACCAGTGTAGCTCTGCAGCTAGTTGGGAATTTTTTATATCTATTTATTACAAGCACTGCGTTGGGAGTTGTTGTAAGTCTCCTTCTTTCCTCACCCGTCTTATGGCTCATGTGTCCATTTGTGCTTTCGAATTCTTTTGAATCACAGTATTGGTAAGTTGTAACATTTGGTCTTCTACTGCAGGCTGGACTGCTTAGTGCATATGTCATAAAGAAGCTGTATTTTGGAAGGTCGGTGTTTAATCTCCACAATAGTGATTTTTTAAAACATTTATGTTTGCACAAGAGTTCTTAAAACTTCATAGGGCACATCAGATTCCAACCAAGAAATAGAATTCTTTTGTGCCACATGTGCTCTTGTCCACACCATACCACATGATGAAAATTTTGAAAGCTTGCCTGTGGTTCTTTGTTAATCTTTTGATGCTTGGTTTTTGATTAATCATTCGTTAAGATGAACGCCAACGGGTGATTTCTTTACTTTAAAATTCTTTACAACTAATTTCTGATCAATTTCAGGCATTCCACTGATCGTGAGGTTGCTATTATGATGCTGATGGCTTACCTTTCATACATGCTCGCCGAAGTAAATTTTTTAAACATTGCATTTTTTAGGTGTTATATTTGAAGCTCCACACTTTTGAATTTAGGTGTTAACTCTCTAACTTGATATATCGTGCAGTTATGTGATTTAAGCGCTATTCTTACCGTGTTCTTCTGTGGGATTGTGATGTCGCACTATACCTGGCATAATGTTACTGAGAGTTCAAGAGTCACCACCAAGTACGGGGCTCTCTTATAATACTAGACCATTTGAGACATGTTTGGTTCTTTTATGTTTCTCTCTTCCGCAAGATAGTTTTGTACTAATGTATATCATCAACTCTTCCACAGGCACACCTTTGCAACATTGTCATTTGTTGCCGAGATATTCATATTTCTTTATGTTGGTATGGATGCCCTTGACATTGAGAAATGGAGATTTATAAGTGACAGGTATGATTGCTACGTAATTGAAAATAGTCGCCATGACATCTTTTCTGGACTGAGAACATGTTAGGCTAAGCTTTAAAGTTAAATTTTTTTCCTCATGTTTTTAGCAACTTTTGAAGTCCCAAAAAGCACTTTTCTAATAGCAATGGGGATTTTATACACTGTTGGGTGGATATATTTTTTAATTCTTTTTTTCCTTTCCAATTGTCAGCCCCAAAACGTCGGTATCCGTGACCTCTATTCTCCTGGGATTGATTTTGGTTGGAAGAGCAGCCTTTGTTTTTCCTTTATCATTCTTGTCCAACTTGACCAAGAATTCATATGAAAAAATTGGCTTTAAGCAGCAAGTATGAGCTCAAATATTTACATTTCAACCATACAAGATTCTTCATTTACTTGTCCCTCCTAATAATTTTACCAATTTTTATCTTCAGGTCACAGTGTGGTGGGCTGGTCTTATGAGAGGCGCTGTTTCCATGGCCCTTGCTTATAACCAGGTAAATTATCTTTATATCTGTTTCAGGGTGGTTATTCTCTACACCGCAGGAAAACTCATTCTGCCCCGGGGCGGGGGGATATAAATGCTTAAGTTGAGCACGTATTTCTGTGATGTTCTCTTTTATGCATCAGGGAAAGAAAATATACTGTGCACAAAATGAACATATACTGCTGTGTAGTGCTTTTCTATTGCCGCTTTGGTGCCGACTAAAGGAAAGGGTGGTGATTATGTATTCTATAATGCAGGAATAATCCAATCGAGTCGTTAATTTTTTATTTTATGCAGTTTACTAGATCAGGACATACTCAGCGACATGGGAACGCCATCATGATTACTAGTACAATATCAGTTGTTCTTTTCAGTACAGTGGTAAGACATCTTAAGCTTTTGCAGGAATGTGTAGGGTAGTACGTGGAAGAAAATAAATATAAAAACGACAAACTAAGTCTTGTTTCTTATAAATTTGGATCAGCTACATGAATCTTTTTCCTCGATACTTAGATCATGTAAGCAACTCTTTGGGCCCAACACGCTTTGTGCTTTTGTGAAACTGACCAGTTTTGGGCAATTTTTAGTTTAAGAACCTACTTTTCTATTGTTGTACTTACCAAAACAATAAAAAGGAAGTACTTTTTCTATTTGAGGTAAGCCAACCATGTTTTTATTGGAAAATTTCCAAAAACAGAGTAATTTTAGTAATTTCAGAAGCGATCCCTCAAATTAATGTTTAATTTTAAATCATTTGCTATTATTCTTTTGACGACTTGTAGGTGTTTGGCTTGATTACTAAACCTTTGGTGAGGCTCTTGCTTCCCTCAGCTAAGCAATTCGACAGAATGATCTCTTCAGAGCCAGTTACTCCAAAATCCTTCATTGTACCACTTCTTGGCAATGAACACGATCCTGAAGTTGATCTGGACGAACAAAATGTTGTGAACGTTCAGGATTCAGAAGCTAATCAAGGTGATAGAAATGTGATCCGTCCAAGCAGTTTTCGGATGCTCTTGAGGAAACCTACCCACACTGTCCACTACTATTGGAGAAAATTTGATGATGGCTTCATGCGTCCTGTTTTTGGTGGACGGGGTTTTGTACCATATGTTCCAGGCTCTCCAATCGAACAAAGTGTGCATCAATGGCAAGGAGAGGCCAAACACTAAGCATATAATCGCTGGTGGCTCATTCAATCGGGTTTTGGCTTTCATTTGTTAATATTATCGAGTGTTTTTTCTGTGTGGATGATGGCGGTGTCTAAATTAGCATAGTTTGCACAAATTTATTCATTGCAGTGGTATTGGTACGTTTTTGTTTCCCTTCTGGGTAGTTGTTGACCCAATAGTTTGTTTTTTGGGAAATGCGAGCTTTTCCCTCCCCGACGAGGTTTTGGAACACCAAATCGGTGTATATTTTTGTAAGCATAAATCATTGTGTATGACTTTCCATAAATTGTTGTCACCTTCACATTTTTGAGCTAAAATCATAATACAAATACACTTTTCTGCGTCTATGTGGATTATGATGTTCTATGCTGAGTTTTCTTTTGACATTTTTGGGTATTCGAGGAACTCTATGGATAATATCCATTGCGCTGAACAAGAAGTATAAGCTTAGAAGTCATAATCCGAGAAATTTGTAAAAAATTTGAAGCTCACATTTTCTATTATTGAAGATATTATGATCCTTTTACATTCATTATTGAAAAATATTGTTGAGAGCTATAAATATTCGTAGTACAAAAGAAGGCACACAGCCACTATCCCTCCACGAACAAAATGTTGTGAACGTTCAGGATTCAGAAGCTAATCAAAGTGATAGAAATGTGATCCGTCCAAGCAGTTTTCGGATGCTCTTGAGGAAACCTACCCACACTGTCCACTACTATTGGAGAAAATTTGATGATGGCTTCATGCGTCCTGTTTTTGGTGGACGGGGTTTTGTACCATATGTTCCAGGCTCTCCAATCGAACAAAGTGTGCATCAATGGCAAGGAGAGGCCAAACACTAAGCATATAATCGCTGGTGGCTCATTCAATCGGGTTTTGGCTTTCATTTGTTAATATTATCGAGTGTTTTTTCTGTGTGGATGATGGCGGTGTCTAAATTAGCATAGTTTGCACAAATTTATTCATTGCAGTGGTATTGGTACGTTTTTGTTTCTTCTCTGGGTAGTTGTTGACCCAATAGTTTGTTTTTTGGGAAATGCGAGCTTTTCCCTCCCCGACCGAGGTTTTGGAACACCAAATCGGTGTATATTTTTGTAAGCATAAATCATTGTGTATGACTTTCCATAAATTGTTGTCACCTTCACATTTTTGAGCTAAAATCATAATACAAATACACTTTTCTGCGTCTATGTGGATTATGATGTTCTATGCTGAGTTTTCTTTTGACATTTTTGGGTATTCGAGGAACTCTATGGATAATATCCATTGCGCTGAACAACAAGTATAAGCTTAGAAGTCATAATCCGAGAAATTTGTAAAAAATTTAAAGCTCACATTTTCTATTATTTGAAGATATTATGATTCTTTTACATTCATTATTGAAAAATATTGTTGAGAGCTATAAATATTCGTAGTACAAAAGAAGGCACACAGCCACTATCCCTCCATTATTCTAGATTATCAATTGTGCTACACAAATAGGCTCAAGGACATGCTAAAAAACAGGGAACACGTGTCGACATAGGATTTGACAATTTGGGGGGAAAAAATCTTATCATGTGCTGCCAAGTCAGTCTGTCCAACTTTTGCCGGTTTTTGAACTTGTTCAATCATCATTATTCTTGGATTATAGTTCTTGAGACTTGAGCATAATTTTTTTTCACTCAGCACGTAACAAGCACCCGACAATGAGACAAATCAGGGCGACCATGCAAACGAACAGCGGGGGGGAAACCAACTTGAACTTTAATCTTACTCTTTGATCTCCCCAACATTATCTGTAAAGAGGGATAGAGCATTCGTCAACAAGCAAGATGAAACCATGATAACATTTAATTAAATCTTATAAAGGTGAACAGCCCAAGAAATATGGAGACCAGGACCAAGACCAAATGTAGATCAGTTGGCATTTTAATACTATAGCCCACCGATGCATTTAATAGGGTACTGGCCAACATGGGAAGAGGGAACATCAGCAAATTAAGCCGAGATTTTTGATAAAATCTAAGTAAACAAGGAAACAACAAATGTAGTTCACCCTCTGTATTTTCCTTGAACACCTGATAATTCCCTCGTTTACCAGAATAGGAAAATTACCCCGACCGACTTGGTGCTTGTTTGTGAGTGCTTATATCAAATACCATAGGATGTGAGAATAAAAAGTGGGTCGTAAATTGTGGATCCAACTGAATGTGTGGATAAAGAATGGGTTTGAGTAGCTTAAATTTAACAATAAAAGATGACAGAGAGAATAAAAGTCTTGTAGGGTGCCACCAACCAATTCTTGCTTTAATGTTTCCTTCTGATGAATGGTACTGCATTTTTCTTCTTTTAGCTTCATGATGGTATTTTCAGCCTGGAAAGAACATAGCAGATAACAGGGCATAAATGAACATTAATTGACTAAATGAAAAAATAGGGTCAGTCAACAGCGTAGCACTTTCTTTCCCGTCCCCTTTCGAAGAAGAGGCCTTTAAACCACAATATTTCTTCCAACACTAATATGCACTTAATTTATGAAATAGAGCTGTGAAATTAAAAAAAGATTGGAATCACGTGGAGTAAGCGAACAACCTAAGTGCGCATTTGGCACATTGGATATTTTGACATTATAATGAACAAGACTTTAGCTTCATTTTCTTCTTTAATTCTATCCAATACTATCCAATCCCTGCTATCACATTCCCAATGTGAATTTGTTTCCTAAAACAAGAACTTTTATCAAAATAAAGCAATATCTTGCACAAAATGAGAGATGGTCACACTATAGCTACTAGTGTTCATAACAATATGCCCTTGCTTGAGCCCCATTCTTCAAAAGAATTAAACTTGTGGTACATCCGGGGGTACCGAAACTTGTACCTAATGGACACGCGGCGACCCCCGGTTGGAGGAAGCGCCTGTCCCACATGCGCTTCCTCCAATGAGGGGTCGCGGGGTATCTATTAGGTACACGCTTCGGTAACCCCCGATGTACCAGTAGTATTACCGTCTTCAAAAAGCTCATTTTCAACTACATATTTTTTTAATAAAATAATTTTACATGTAAATACAAATTTTTTCACTACTTTATAATCACACATTCTCCCAAAATATCACTATTACAAAATATTTATTATTATTATTATTATTTTTTTTTTTTTTCAAAAAAATAGGACTCGAATATAGCCTATATTATCAGCAGACGCATAAGTCATTGAGAATAGAGATGACAATGCACGAAAGAAATTATAACTTAAAGAATGGAAGAAGAGAGACAGAGCCGTGCAATTGTCCAAGTAAAAGGCCACAAATTGTACATAGAATACAATATTTATAACCTAAATAATGTAAAGATCTGATGAAATTGACAAATCACATTATAGCCTCTATTTAGGGAGAGTTTATAGATGTATTTATTTATAGGATCGTGCTACACGTACATGATCATTTACACAATCGTTTACATCCCACTCACATCATCAAGGTGGGGACCACGGCTTGACATTATTAAATACACGCGGGGCCCTCGTGTTTGTGAGGGGGGGGGACATGCTTCGGTAACCCCCCTCGGTACCTATGGTTTTATCCTTATTTATAAATAAATAGAAATAAATGATGGATAAGTGTATAATACTTGTAGGTTCATTTGGAATGTGTGATTGAAAATGATGGTTGACCATTTATAAATGATTTATAAATTTTGGCATATAGAGGCATAGTGAGACAAACAAGGAATGGAATGGGATATAACAAAGCCATTCTCACATTTTCCCATAAAAGATATGGGAGGGGAAATAAAATACATGAGTTAACAACATCAGTCATTTGAATTGTATATATCATGATCACTCAATTACGCATTTGTTGGCAAGATTCTTATTTTTTTAACGAAAAATGCTTCCTTGCCATTTTTCTTAGCTATCTTCAGGGGTGGAGCCTGGAATATACGCTGCGGGGGGCTATGGTGCTCGGATTCGGCTACAGGAGTATTTTTTTTTTTTAAAAGTTGATGCAATTCAAATATAACAAAAAAAAAATTATAATATAACATTATCTAAAATTGCATCTAACAAGATTTTACATCATAAAATCCTCTATAATAAATCTACATATAAATTCATAGTAAATTTTCGTTCGATGTAAAGTTTCATACAATCAACAAGAAAACTATTATCCATTTTGTTCCAAAAAGTAACTAAACTAAGAAAATCTCATCACTAATATTCAAGACAATGAATTGAAGGACCACATGAGTGCGACCGTGCGAGCTAAAAAAATCGGGTGTGTAGATCAAGAAGTTTGAAAATAGAAACACATGAATTAATGTATAACAAAAATGTTAATTATATCATGATCAAAAAAATTTTAATTATATATACTCAATTATGAAACACTATAACAAAAAATTTAATACATGAAAGTAAACTAATATGTATGCACATATACACTAAACAAAAAGTCAAAGTGTTGGACATATAGGCTTATTTTTCTCAAAATAATAGTGCTATTGGGTTGGGATTGGCTATGCAATTGGACTGCTGTTGGATTGATGGTGGGCTAAGTGATTAAATTTCTATTTTTAATAGACTATTCGTTCCATTTTCTTGGATATGGGCTTGGGCAATACTAGGCTACAGTCCAGTAGAGCCCTCCCCCATCTCCGTCCCTGGCTATCTTATAGTTAGTGCTTTTCGTGTGAGAAGAACCTTAGGTAATTCGATCAGTACGCAACAACACTACAACAAGGTGGCAAACATAGAGCACTGAGTGAATACCAAGACAATAAAGATAAGTGAACTCTTAAACTGTAGGAGCGATAGCCCTTGAGCTTAATAGAGGTCAAACTAGTCCAGATGCATACATCTCACAATTTATTCGATCATCCACAAAACAGAACGAGGTTGTGTAAGTCAAAAGTAACCAAGTGCAGTGGATGCTCATAATTTTATGCTTCGCCGCATGGAATTTCTTTGGAAAAAAATTATATTCCACATCGAATGGGAGTTCTCATGATTATATTCGGAAGGCCAAAATCAATCCACCACAATATAAGCGTATGTAAGTCAATGCAGCCACTGTGCTACTGCATCTTTAAGCAGCTATTCTCCTAAAGGAATAAAAATAATGAACAAGTTGCCATATCTTATTAATCATGCTTAAGCAAAGAATACTCGTATAATTAAACGTCAAGAGCATAACAAAAAGATTCTTCGCATATCTATTCGCGTGAGTGATGTAATTGCATGATTTTGTTTCTTTCATTTACCTATGAACTTAAGTTCCTGTGGCTGAATCTCAACTAGCCGAGTACTCATAAATCTTGTAATCTGAAACAATAATCACAATCGACCAAGTTAACT